TTCTCAATACTCTTCTCCAGCACCACAGCTCAAAGGCATCAATTCTCATTCTATCCTCCTTAGTCATTGTCCAATTCTCTGATGCATAACAAGTGATAGCAAAGACCATGGCCTGTATCAGACCCACCTTAGTCTCCAGAGACACATCATTGCTCTTCAGTACTTTGGAGAGGTCCCTAAAAACAAACTTTCACATGGCAATGCGCCTTTTAATTTCCTGGCTACTACTAGTGCCAAGAGTGTTGACTGTGGAGCCAAGCAAACTAAAGCTGCGAACAATCTCAATCTCTTCACCATCCATCCTGATGCTGCGAATTGGTCCTGTGGTGAGAATCTTTGTCTTCTTGACATTGAGCCTCAATCCATATTGTAGGCTGCAGTCTTTGACTCTCTGCAGCAAGCGCTTCAGGTCCTCCTCAGTGTTAGCAAGCAGGGTTGTGTCATCTGCATAAAGCAGATTGTTGATAAATCTCCCACCAATCTGTATTCAGAGCAATGGGTGAGTGTTATAATCTGTTTAAAGAGCCCTGGGGGTACAGTGCCTAACACATTGCCCTTTAAGTTTACTGGTCTGAATCTACCAGCTGGTCCTCAAGAGAAAGATGGGCGATCTCCTCTTGTAAAGATTTACAGCCTCAGAAACCTGATGGAGGGTCACTTGTTGGCAAAGGACATTATCTACTGGTACAAAGGACTCTGCATAGGGACACAGGGACCCAACCACCTCCCTGCAAAAGAAGTTATGATTAGTATCCAGGGTGCTGAAGTACAGTGTTGAATAAAAATAAGTGATACACTACTGTGAAAAGCTAGAGACTGTGTGTCGATGGGGATCAAAGGAAAGCTATTGAAGGAGGTAGTGGTGACTAGACACACTCAACTGAAACATTATTCCAGTTAGGCACCAAGAAGGGTACTTTTCAGAGAGATTAGCACGAGGAAACATAATGTTGGGGGAAAGCAAGGACTTTGGAAGCTCTTGTTCTAAATCCCACTTCCCCCCAATAATGTGCTATGCTGTTACTTTGTAACAGCTACTTAACCTTTCTCACAGAGTTATATGAGAAGGAAACAAAAGTACATTAGTAACAAAAATAGCTGCGAATTATTGAGAATGTTACTGTGCTAAGTGATGATTATATTTAATCCCCACACCCAGACAGACTATAATGGCTACTATTGTTATCTCTGTTTTATAGGCGATGGTACTTAAGAGATGACTTAAGTGATTTGGCCAATGTCACAGGACTTGAAGATTGTGGAGCCATAGCCAAACTCTTTGGTTTTGATTCATAGCATGAACTTACCCAGAGTTTTGTGGCTGATGGTTGGTTATAGTTTGGTACGATGAAAAGAAATAAAGAGCTGACCTTTGGATATGTACTCTTAACCACATTAAAATGAGACATTAAGCAAAAATATATGTAAACATCAAGTCCCTTCTTAAGACACAACAGGGATTCAAAAAAATGGTAATTGCTACTGGTTTGCCCTTGTGGTGAAACAAAGATGGTGTGTTTGGGGTGAGGAACTTATGGTTTTAATGGGAGAAAGAGCTTTACTGCATTGACATTTAATTTGGAAGGTAATATAAGTGTTAGCTGGGAGCTCTAGTAGCAAGAAGCTGTGCTGCAATTCCCAAAGGCCTGTGGTTCGAACCCGAATCCCACCAGCTGCTCCACGGGAGAAGGAAGGGCAATTTCCTCCTGTGCAATTAACTGCCTCTAAAACCCTGCCAGAGGGTCAGCTATGGGTCAATGCTGACTCAATGGAACACACCAAGAATAGGTGTTAGCCAGAGCTTTTTCTAAGCAATTGAGTAATACGATAGAACAATAATTTTTAGATTATTTCCTCTATACACCAAAATCATCATATCACTTACATTCAATTCCTTTGTGTAGTAGGTATTGTAATTGAAAACTTTAAAACTATACAAATGAAACTCAGGGAATAAGAAGTTTCCCCCAAATTCCTTGGTTTTGATTGAATTTACCCAGATTTTTGTGGCTGATGGTAGGTTATAGTTTGATACTACAGTTAACAATTAGGAAGAAAAACAATCAGGAGGAACCATAAAAATATGGCAAATACGGTAGATTCAGAAAAGCGGAAGTAGATAGGGAGGTTAGGTCTGGGAATCAGCAGAATATACACTCCTAATAAGTGGGCTCTAGTGGCCTAGTGGTAAGAAACTACACTGCAATCCTGTAGGCACATGGTTTGAATCCACCAGCTGCTCTGCAGGAGGAGGATGGGCAATCTCCTCCCAAGTGATTAAATGCTTCCAAAAACTCACCAGAGGGTCAGGTATGGGTCAGTTCTGACATGACGGTATGCAACAGCAACAAGAAGGAATAAGTAGTTTCTTGCTAATTTTATTTATCCCTAAAGCTCTGAGATAGATGTCATAGATTTGTAAACAAAAAACTTCCAAATCTGCAGTTGCTAGGTTGATTCCATCTCACAGAGATCCTACAGTATAGAGTAAATCTGCCCCAGAGGGCTTCCAAAGCTGCCGATCTTTATGAAAGACGTCTTACTCCTACAGGAAGGCTAGTGGTTTCAAACTGTTGACCTGCCAGTAACAGTGCTTAACCAACTGCTGAGCTGCCAAGGTTCCTTGTCAGTAAAAAACCCCAAATTCTCATAGCAACCCTCTATCATTTTTCTGAGGCTTTAAATCTTTAAATCTAAGATGAGACTTCTCATTTATTCTCCTTGGAGCTACTGATAGATTGGAATAGCAGTGCAACATATTATGCATAGATGAGAGGTAAAATATTAGCTGGATTAATTAAAGAATGCAAAACTAATCTGAGAAAATATTCCAGAGAAGAAAGCCTTGAGTTGCATTTAGGAGTAATACTAAGCTTTGATATAATACTAGAATTTATAACTCCTTGTTACATACCATTTCAGGGAGAAATGTCGTGGTAAATAGGAATAGGGAGGTAATGGAGGCAAGTTTTGAAATGCAGACAGACATCACCTTTTAAAATAGAGAAAAATAGTCATGAATGTATTATCTATCATCAGGAGTTGAAGTCTAAAAGGATGGCATGGACAATTGTTTTGGAAAACTGTAGAAGTATGAGGCTTTTCAGGAAGACTTCTTTTTTAAAGAGTTATAGCAGTTGTGGTATGTACAAGGTCACTGTGTTAACTCTGCAGAAAAGAGAGCTTTGGTCTTCTCAACCCAGAGGCAGCACAGACTGGTGGGAAGCACACAGGCCTACGAGTCAGACAGGAACTTTTTGAGTCTGGTTGTTTCTCTCTTTCACATTTATACCTTTGCTCTTCCAATTATTAAAGTAAACAGATTATGTAACTTAACATCTACAAAAGGAAGCAAGCAGGAAGTAGATATGATTCCCTTCACCGTGAAGAGCAATATGCCATCAATCATACAAAGATTATAAAGACTATGTGTAGCTTTGGTGACCACATGCCATGCAGGTTGCATTAAAAGGTTCTAATCCACTGAGTCAGCTGTGAAAAAGCCAGGTAAACACTTTAGACATGAAGGCTGGAACATATATCCTTGCAATAAAAGCAAGAAGCAGCACTTCCATTCTATCTGATTTATGGTTGGGAGCTTTGAAAAGGATAAATGTTATCGCAAGGTAGATTTAATAGTATGGAGCTACACAGATCAGGGGGCAGCTGGTCAAAAATAGAATGAATAGTACTGAAACATTGCATTGTTATTGTTT